ATAATACTTTACTCACAATCTAATTTGTATATCAAATAATAATTTTAATAATTAATAAATAACATTTTTGTTGTATTTTATGTAAAAAAAAATTGTTTTTGTTAAAAATATATTAAGAAATCCAAAGTTAATTAATTATTAATTATTAAAAAATAACTTTTAATTATTAAAAATATTTAATAACTAACTTTCTTTTTGTAATTAATGGAAATAATTCTAAATTCGGCTACCATAAAAGTCAATTTTCCCCTCAATTAATCGCCATTAGATTATTATTCTCGCCTTATTCAATTGATTAATTTACGGCGGATATTTTTTTTTTCACTCGTTCATTTTTTTTTGCGCAATCAAACGCGGTCTTTTTATTGGACCGATAATAGATAGTAATCGTGTTGCAGATAACGATTTCACTTATAACGAAATCGTGCCGAAATTCATATATATATTGGTTAATTGCTTTTATATGTTTATACAACAGTGTTTCTAAATTTAAAACTTGTAAATTAGTAATTACTGCAAATTATTATTTTGTAAGTCATTTTTGTATCTAGTAAGATTTTTTTAGATAAAAATTGATGAATAAAATTTTTGTTTATTGTAACAAAAAACTATACTTAATCAAATAATATCATTAGAAATTTACATGTAATTTTTATTTGATAAAAACATAATGAATTAAATTGAGATAAACAAATATACTTAATCAATAAATATCGAAATTTCTGTGTATCATAGTTCATTCAAAATTCATTCCTAGTTCACAATTGTAAATTTTTATTTTCATTTTATCAATTTTGATAGTAGATTTCATGTTAACCGGTTTACGAAATCATATATAAACAAATTGAGTGTTCTTGAAATCGACTTGTTTATTTAATACTTTAAAGTTATAGTTTTATATAATACAGCTTAAGTTATATATATATTTTTTAAACATACTTTAAAATGTAGTTTACGTAAGTCAAAAACCTAAATTTGTTGCTTATTGTAATTGAATCAAGGTTACTAATATTTACTCTTTTATAGTTATAACACTTTTCTTTCCTAAGACTAAATTTATTGTTCTTTTATTTACATGTAATTTAAATTTATATAAGCTACGTTTTTTTTAAAATTTTGTATTGACTGTAATTATTTGTTTTCTTTTATATAACATTAATTTTGATACATTTTTGAGAATGTTTTATGTATATTATCATCATGAATTTGTTGCTTTTTATTTGTTACACAAAAATTACCTCTATTTAATTATGTTCTATATAAATGAAAGTTTATATTTTCGATTACTATTTAATTTGTTACTTAAAGAGTAATTTTTTAACGTTTTGCAGAGATATAAAGAGGTAACGAACTCACCACGTTTAAGCTTCTCCAACGGTTCGTGATGGAGCGACGGCGTGTGGGGTACAACACCATGGTGATGATGATCGTGACCCACGTGGTGACCCAAAACGGACGAAGATCCGCTCATGATTCCAGATATGGCGGAACTCACTGAGACCGCCGAACTGACGGAATCGTGAAGATGATGATGGACCCCGTGCAGATCGCTGCTGGAAGATGTCGTAACGCCGGTCACTAAGTCCTGAAGACACAGCGCCGGATCGGAGAGCGATTCCATCCGTTCCATCTTCTCGTAAGTTTCGCGCACGAAATACACACTTAAATCGTCTCAAGTCCAAAGTGAGAGAGAGAAAAAACAAACAACAAAGTGAGTTTTCTATTCAAACAGTCCGGCCCTGGAAGAGAACGCAAACTATATTGTATTGGTTTACACAAGTATACAAAAACAAAAACAATTTAGGAACATTAAGGGACAACGATTCACATGGTTTCCGTCGGAAGCGTTTTTCGTTTCGAAATTATTCTTGCTCTCTCTCTTCTGAATGAAATCAGAAAAAGAAATAGAGTTCAGCTGTTTTGCTTCTTTTTTTTTCTTCTTCTTCTTCGTCTGCGACTTTTGCAGTCGCGGGATGAAAGAGAAGTTGAGGAAAAAGGGCTTAAAATCGGCTTTGGTCAGGTTTAAGGCCGGATCAAGAGCGTCGCGACGACGGAACGCCGCGTCGGTCTGAAGAGCTTTGCGGGTACTAAGCCCGCGAGCTTTACATCCCTACCGCCCCCGCACTCACACACACACACACACATACACATCCAATCACACACGCATGCACCTATACACATACACGCATAGGGAAAGAGGACTTCCATCGACGGACGGATGCGGCACCAGCAGTCCGCGGGCCAATTTTCTCGCGCGCGCATTCACCTAAAAACCCGTTTGTTGACTCCTCCGGAGATGGTGTGACGGCAACTGTGGAGCTCTTCGTCGAAGGGGTTTTTTGTTTCGGTCCGGGTGGATCCGACGTTGTCGGATGGGAATTTACCGTCGCACTGACAACAAACAACACGCAGCAAGGACTTTCCGGCAAGGACAGAAACCGACTGGATAATGAGGTTGAGCGAGAGGAAGAGATACACGAACGTACGTACGCGTTATGTCAGATACCGCGACGCGCGAGAGTTATCAATATATTTTTTTTTTTCACCCGGACGCTTATCTCTCCTCCACGACGAGTTCTCCTCAACTGAACTTCATATCTACTACCTACAACACCTTCTATCAACATACCTTTTTCATGTTATTTTTTTTTTAGTTGTTGTTGTTTCTGCTGTTATCAATCAACTCTCAATTACAAAACTACTTCAAAGTGCGTGAACTTTTGGCAATTTCAGTGTTCTTATCTTATTCACCTATTAACGCTCATTAAACTTGTGATGTGTTATTTTTCACACTTTAGGTAACTGAACTTTATCTACCTACCAACTTAATTATTTGTATCAAACCTTTAACTTAATAAAATTCACAATTTAATTTTCTTAATTATACTTCTAATATATTTACAAACAAATTCCTACTATTTTTTAGTAATTTATACTTGTGATATGTACAAATTCAATCATAGCTAAAAATCTTTAGAAGTAATACTTTTATATGAAACTTTCATTACTATTTTTATACTTTAAGTAACTTTTTTTATACATAAATATGTTTTAATAATAAAACTATTTCTACTGAAAAGAAATATAAGTCTAAAATACTGTATTCTTTTAAATATTAATCAATACAAAGTAACAATTTTACTTCAACCTTTTTTTTTACGTAATCATCAAATTTCGAGGTAACATCTATGAGTGTATCATTCCCAAACTGAATTACTTTAATGACCATAAGATATTCAAGTTATGTAAGTGATTTATTGATTGATTGAAAATGTATTTTACATAATAAAATGCACAACTTAACCATTTAATTAATCACATTTTTTTTTATAAAATTCAGTTCAAATTATCTACTAATTAATTATTCTAATTATTCTACTTAATATTTGTTCGTACTTAATTATTTTATATTAATTGCTAATAATATTTTTGATATTATGAAACAAGCACATTTTTTAATCTTTCGAGTAGTAAAAGACATAACATTTTTAGTAACCAATTTTATAACATTAATATTTTGATTGCTGTATAATATACAAACTAATAAAATTCATAATTAACACAATATTAAACTTAGATTTAGTTTAAGCAATGGAAGTTTGTGAATGTATACATTTTGTATATGAATTTCATTGAATTTTCATTGTGCGGATCAAGAGGGAAGCCGTTTTGGAAATCCACCAATCTAGGATTATCGCCATGGCAATAATCCAACTGACTATTGTTTCGTGGTAAGGAGGATCGTGTCTGTAATTGAAAGAGTTTCGCAAACGGCGAACGTCCGACGGAAGCCACCAATCGTGTTGATAACTAGAGGAAATCTGTATCTCACTTACCTGATCAATGTCTTATGCAAGTCGATAATCTTCACTTTCGGGTTAAGTCGTTGTGGATTTGTGTATGTGTATATAAAAAAAACAATAATCACAACAGATCTGCGGCGGCAGTAATCAGTTTCAGTAAGTAAATCCGGTCAAATCCAGGTGCAAATCCCGGGATTGTCATCAAAAATAAATATAACAGCAACAAAAAAAATATATATATATAACAGCAGCACGACGTGAATTTGTGTTTGTGTATGTGAGAGAGAAAGAGAGAGTTAATGGCTTACAAATCACTGGCCACAAATACACACAAATCCAAAATAAAATCACTGGTCGGTGTTTATGTACTCTTTTCGGTGAAGATCAGTGTATCAAATTGTTTTCTTGCTCGTTTCGCAGTAATAAAAGCGATTGATGATGATGGAAAGCCGCGACGGATTTTGAGCGATTCGGTTTTTGTTGTTGCGTTTAGGCATCGGGCCTAACACCGGAATCCCGTGAAAGTATTAAAAAGTCTTAAGCGCTTAGCGACCGCACGCTCACTCACACTAACATAAACACGTATGTATATGTATACACGCACACATGCACAGCAGCCACACACATACACACACACGTATATATATACACACGGCAGCGAGAGATATCGGCCCTTGATGCTGCAAAGTCTCTGTAATCTGGGCCACTTCCCAGCGCGGTTTAACCATAAGTCTCTATACTCTATATATCATCGCGTGCACACGGGACAAACACACACACAAACATCCCTGTCCCTTGCAGACTCCGCCCGGCGTGGCCTTAACCACGCCTCGAATACGCGTGCAGCGATATGTGCATCTCCTTCCAACGCAAATCGACGTCAATATCAGTCCTCTCTCTCGAATATCGACGTGAGGCGTTACCAAAGGCGGAGCTAATGGACGGAATCACCCGAACTCCACCGTTTTCAGCACACGGCAGCCTTCAGTGGGCGTGCGGAGGCTCTCTCACACCATCGGCAAAACCCCCACCACCGCCGCCGTGCATCCATCCCTTTTGCGCTTTTATTATATTGATTTAGGATCAGGCAAGTCGCCCGGACTTTGTTTATTTGTCGTTTATCATTTTCTTAATTTGATGATTTACGACGAGCGCCTCTGAACATACACTTACTTTGTAATTATCATTGTCCTCCCCAAAAAGTACACATCGCGCAAACACATCGGAAAATTGATAAAAATTTACACACACACACAAAAAATATCGTGAAAAACTTGCGCAAGTCTCCAAGGATAACGCGCGCCGGAGGGATTACACCAAATAATTACCCTGAAAACCTTTTAAGTCTATTACAGATCATTACAGGTTTAACCTGCATTAACCAATAATAACGATGGGTTTTTCGTCGATTATGCGAACCTCAAATCGCTTTTAAGCGATCCACTTCAGATTAATCTTACGAACTTGGATTGATAGACTTTTCCGCTGCATCCAATTGAATAGCTAAACCTAAAAAAGAAAGACGAAAAAAAAGTAACATTTAATGGACACCTTCCACTCTCAACGACTACTTAACACATCCATTCATCCCTAAATGGATTACCTTCAATCGCTACAGCTTTACTCTTCCCTCAAACATATTTACCGACTTAACTTAACCGCTTTCAAAATTAACTTTGAATCATCACCATCACCATCATCATCAGCTTTTAGTTTAATAAATGTTGAATTAGTTAGGAACTGAAAAATACAGAAAAAAAAATTGTAAAATCACAATTTAGAAAAAATACAATTGTTTAAAAGCTTTTTATTTATATTATATCCAAAATGTACAATTTATTATTAAAATCTCATATTCATTGGTAATCTTAATAATTAATATCGTTAGATTTATATGAACTATAAACAATTTGATCCCAAATATAAATATAACCGTTTGATGTATGCGTTTGCGTTTTTTTTTCCTGTGGATCTGCAACAACTGCTTTGATCTGATATTGTAAGGTCGATCATTTAGGGATCAAATTTAATACCTGCAGATAAGATTGCTTTCTTTTTGATATGCGAATAAAGCAATTTAGATTAACCGTATCTAAATTCGAATCCCCAATACTTACAATTATGGTATTAACGTTCACATTTTATTTATATAATTGAATTCCGACGACAAATTGATGGATATCAACTTTACTTAGGATAAGATGACAATTGACAATCTATTTTAAAGTTGAATATCAGCAAACAATTTACATTTGTAATGAATGAAATTTAAGTTTTTCTAAAAAAAAATATTTGTACAAGAATATTCATGATAAGAAGATTTTGTTAATCTAGAAAATAGTTAGTATATATTTTCATTATAATTTTATCATAGAAGTCTATATTATTTTTATAGAATGTTAGAAAATAAAATAATTGAACGTTTTCAATTTGTTTAGTTTACTTATATTTACAAAAAGTGATAGTTTTTATTCTAATAAACTAAATGTATTTAATATTTTCTTGTTCGTTGTAATTAATTGCATGTAATGTTTAGTTTCTTATGACATATTTATTTTAGTCCATAAACCTGAAGAATTTAGCAGGTAAAGTCTAAACAAAGAAACGTTAATTACTTGTTAAGTATAATAAGTCCATAAACTTGAAGATTTTATTATAAGTACCTTAAAGCTTTATTAGCACTATAATGAAATACTTATAAAGTAAAATATTGATGTTTCTTAAGTTTATTATAAATAATTACTCAATTAATTTTCATTTACAATTTTATATTAATTAATTTTTATTGTTAATTTAGATTTCAATAAATATCTATTATAAAATTCTTGTTTTAAACAAAAATTGCGTTTGATATTCTTGCGAAATCCTGCAATCAAATTGATTGCGCTTATCCTTGCGGTTTTCCTGCTGCTTTTGCCGACGGCTGCTGCGGGGGCGGACGCTTCTTCTTTCAGAGATAATAAAAGAAAAGTCAAGGGTGAAAGGGTCCTCTTTCTTTATGCTTTTATCATCGCTTTATGTAAGCAGCAGTAAAACCAGTCTAGACCAAAAAAAAAACTTTCCCTTCCACCTCCATCGCTATTATGATTATTGCTTCTTCTCAACGAGAAGTACATTTCGGTTGGCCTTTTGACTGTATCTCTGATTAGACGTGTCGACTCTTGTTTTCCTCTCTTTTTTTTTCCTATTCCCGCTTGAATTGGTTCACCGAATGAGAAATAACGAAATACGAACGGTAGACACAAAGAGGGAGAATCAATTTGCGTGCTCGCTCATCCGGAAAATTCGGTGCAACGTGTGTTCCTGTATTGATATGGAAGAGGTGGTCTCTCTTCACATGTGTGTGTGTCTCTCTGGAGAGTATGGGTGCATGTGTGTGTGTGTTATCACGACATGTCAATCAAACGTCGGACGGTTTTTTGGGGGTTTTGTTGGAGGGGGAATGCGAGTCTGACACGCCCACAAAACGCGCGCGCATCCTGATAAGAGAGAAGCTGGTGGGCGGGGTCAGGACGACGTCCAACATGGCGCACCGCGACGTCTCCCCAAAAAGCGTCGCGACGCATCTAAACACTCGTACACCGGCGCACGTCGCAATCAATACACACGCTCCGTGTGTATCTTCTCAACATTCGTACACATTATTATTGCAACATATATATATA